TAAATCTGGAGAATATGCTTAATGGGGTAGCAGTTCGTATCCCAATTCGTGGATTTTTGCCACAATGCTTAATCAGCACACGAAATTCACTTTTTTCCATATTCGTAAAAATTCACGAGGTTGTCTGCTTTGAATGGATATCAAACACCAACTGAACGACGTAGCTTGCTCAAAATTAGAAAGTTACCCACTGGTAGATTACAGCTGACGGCAGCACTGTTGCATTTGGAGTAACTGCGCGGGAAATTCAAAAAGTCACTGATTTATCAAACCGCCCTCGTAATAATATTTCATTAAATTATAAAACCACAAAAAAATTAGTGTTCTTGATAATGCAATTTGATGTACTTGAGTCGAATTCCATCGTTCTATAAATGGTAACAAGTAGTTTGATCACATCTAAAGCAACATTATTAGAGCCAGCCAAACTCGAAGGTCTTTTTGCATGGATGATAACGATGTTTTATAAAAATTTATAATTGTCTTCTATAGATTATTAGCATTTATTTGGATTAAGCACTATAGCGTTCAAATATGCAGCTATATTTCAATCAGCTAGCGAAAAATAAATAAAAATATGGGTTCAATGCTAACATAGTTATATATAACTGGATGGGACCTACTTTAAAAATAATAAACAACATTTTGATCGACTGGTAGTTTTTCTCTGTCTTATTTAAAAATTCAATACGGAATGTATGCATTATTTCTTTATATGAGCATGCCAAAGAGTAACATACCTGAAATCTATTAACTTATTCGAATGTTTGAATTATTATCACACAGTAAACGATAATTTCATACTTGAATGACATATTCTTTAATAATAAATTCAGATTTTATTTTTATTCAAATTTTTTGTTACCAAAAATTCTTATACTCCATATTATTGTATATTAGTGCTAGTTACTTTATTTTATGATATACTAATATTTTAAAATGTCAACTATTGATAAAAATGTTCCTGAGTCAGAAGACGTTACAGAAAGGTAATTCCTCTTAATTCATTATATAATCTGTCAAATTATTTTTACTTACAAATCTATTTAGATCTTCATCAGCAACAGCCTTTTCTGATCTATTTAGCTCTAAAGGTCCAAATAAAAGTCCAGTTGACCCTTTAAAATTAAAATTAAATCGAAACAAATCATTAAAAGATATGGGTTATGATATAAATAGGATTACCTGGGAAAGCAATAAATTTCCACCTAAAACGGATTTATATAAATCAGTATGTGATTGGTTCAAGAAACCTGAGAGTAGCGACATGACTATTAATATCGATAACTTTAATTTTAAATGCAATAAAATAGTGTTATGGACATACTGCAAATACTTTCGCAAGAACCCAGATTTAGTCTCTTTAGACATATCGAATGACTTTATGTCTCCTATGGAATTCCGTACCTTATATAATTGGATGCTTGAGGATAAACCAAAGATTTTTCATGACAGCTTGCTTTCCATGCTGACTGCAGCAATAGCTTTTGGTATTAAAGATTTAAAACTGCAATGTTGGAGCTTACTGAGTAATGACGATATGTACAATGAAGAAAATGCATTCTTTATGTACTTAAAAGCTCGCAAATTCAGTCTTCCACATGTAAGGAGAGTAATGCTATCAAGAATTAAAAAATTTTTCTTGCCTCTTGTGTCCTCTAAAGAATTCGTAGCTTTAAATATTAGTGATTTGAAATGTCTTATGAAAGGTAATAGCTTCGCGGTTAACAGAGAAATTGAGATTTTCTATTCACTCATACGTTGGTTGAGCTATGACTGGGATGAACGAGAGCCATATGTAACACAGGTAATGCGCTTAGTGCGATTTAATAATATGTCGTGCCCAAATTTACTGCATTTAAAGCATTACTTTAAAAGTGGAGAAGTCAATAGAGTTACATATCGCGATGAAATTCAAAACAAAATTCAACAAAACTTAGAAGCTGCTGTTGTTAAAAAGTCGAATCTTATATATGCTAAGGTGATGAATGCACGCAAGTTTCCAGCTCGAAGTTGGATTTATGATAGCAATTGTGAATACCACCATAAAGTTAACTGCCGTAATGCTAAAGAAGTAACTTATAAAATGTTTATAAATTACCTAAAGTTACTACAACGTTCGGGCTCATTTTATTGGCATGACTTTGTTTCCGCTGACGATGATAATATTCATTGTTGCCAGGTAAATGACCAAATCACAGAAGAATCTGTAACTCCAACTGAATTGAACTGTTCTCTGGAAGAGCTGTCATTAATAGATACAGAAGTGTCCTCCACCACACTTACTAATACTGAGTAGCTATATGGGAGCTTAATTTTAAATACGAGGACTTTTCCACTTTTTTTTTGAACTACTACTAATAAGTACAATAAATACAACAAATAATTACGAGTTTGTGATTTTAAATATTAGTTTATTTTTATATAATTTTTATTTATTAAGGATTAAAAAAATCTACAATGGTCAGCACTTGGTTTCAAATTCAGAAAGGTATAAAGGTAATTTCAGTAATTTGTTGAATTTAAAAATATAAATAAAATAAATTTATAAAGAGATTTTTCGAACAGTTGTGAACTACAACAACAAAAATTAATTTTATATTATTTTATTTAATTGAATTTTTGGCTGACCATACAGCTGTTTCGAGTATTGTCAAATACCCATCATCACTGGTCTTGGAAATAGTTCTTGTGTTTAATTATTTGTAAATAATTGTTTGAGACTGCGAGTAGCAGGAATAGAAATCGTGTCCTGCCAAATTAGAAGCTCAGAGTCAACGCACCTTAACCAACTGACCCAAAGCCGTACTTGACTTTTTATGTTCGCAAATTTTTCTGGAGTTTTGTTACTTTTGTTTCGAAAGTTTTTTATTAATAAATTTACTTGCTGTGTTTATATTAGAACCAGCTGTAGAATAATTAAATTAATAAATTATATTTTTATTTTTAATTTTTAAATTTCAATACTATTCTTTTTGTAGAGGCATTATTTGTTGCATGATTTATATATTATTTCTTATATATAGAACCTAATCTTGGAACGTCTACATAGTTCTGTATTGCTTTTCAATAATTATTAGTTCTTTAGAGAGTTAATAATAATTTCTTTAGAACAGAAAGGGAAAAGATGAGTGTGGTTACTGAGGTCAAAAAGGTTCAGACAAACGTGAATTGATTATCACAAATTACGAACCAAAATATAAAAGCATTTCTCTTTCGTAAATAAATGTGAAAATATAACCACATATAATAGAATTAACTGCAATACTGGTAATTTAAGTAAAACCACAACAGAATTTAGTGTGCATTTCTTACAAAATGGCAAGTCACACGTTCATTTTGTACTTACCCCAAATTTTACTCGTATATTGCCAGTGGCTATTTCACTCACCAGTAAGGAAAGGTCACTGTACTTCATGAGTAACTTGCAACAACTGTGCTAGCGTAAATCTTTATTTGGACATTTGAAATGGAACCTGGTAAATATTTCTATAGCCCTTAATAGTAACGCTATATATACTCCCTGTAAAAAAATACTTTTAATTTAATTTTTAAGATAGTAATGTAATTTTTTTAAATATATATTTATAAACAAATGTTTGGAGTTTACAAATATCTGTATAAATATCTGAAACTTGTGTTTTTATTTGCACGGAAGGTAAGAGTTCAATGTACCTTTTATTTTATTTTTCTCTTGAGTTTAATAAGAAAATTGTCGGAGTTCAGTTTGACACGTGACAGAAAAAATCTTTACAATGTGACGTGCTTTCCTTACAAATTCAATTCGATTTTTATCTACTAAAAATTTCTTTCTAATTTTAGAATAAGGCATGTGGCATAACACATTGAAAAAAATTGTTGCCCTTAAATACTTTATTAATTGGCTAAAAAAGATCCAGTCATGAAAAGCATAATATAATATTTAAAAAAAAGTTCTTAGTTGTGGAAAACTAGTTTTACTTATTATGTACAGAAATCTTCTTCATCACAATTAAAAGATTTGATGAATCTCAAAACTGTCTACAATATTTAAAGTTACATATATTAATTCTGTGGTTCTGTAAGTCACGAAATCAAGCAAAAAGATAAGTAATGAATAAAATGAGTGTGGATTAGAGATTAGATACTGAGCAAATTGCATGCGATTAGAAATTACTATCATCGATAACAATAACTTCAGATACCATATAAATGCATCAGCGAATCCACCATTACTACAGCCATTACTACAGACCTTATACCACACACCGCCCCAATACCTATCCCTTTACCTTGATCAGTAGAACTCTGATAGCTTCATCATCCCTCTCTTCAACCGCGGCTCTAGTGACTTCGGTCACAGAGTCTAGTATCCCAGCGCTTGTGCAACATATCCTTCACTAACACCCAATTTCCCTGCATTACATCCATGCTTTCTGGCTAAGATGAACCTAGTCCGCAAGGTATTAAGCGTCGTGTTCTAAACTCTCCATCTCTTGATAACTGGAATCGGGTTGTATCCGCTGCATGCGGCTGCAATCTTACTTACATATTCATTCTTAAAAAGTGGTTTAAGTGGGTTCAAATCTCACACTCTGGCTTTCGATGCTTTCCTACAGTGAAAAACCTACAGTAAAGAAAATAAAACTAGTAATCATTGAATAAAACTTTTAATATAAAAATGTTACAACTTAGAAATTTCGATTTGGTTCATCATATTGTCAATATTTAAATAACTTTTTGTTTGATTTATCCCTAAAGCAGAATATCATAACATTGCTAAAGTACTTATCAGACGATACTATATGAGACCGCATAATTCGCTTTGAATATATTTAATAGTATAATTCTCATTTACTTTAAATTTGAGTTTCCTCATAAATTCCGTTAAATGACCATCAAAATTTGAATAAAATTTTTAATGTAAAAGGGAGAATATTGTAAATTTCCATTTCCCGTTTCTGTTCACAATTGATTTTCAGTATTAATTGTTAAATTTGTTTTTATTTATAAACTTTTCAAAAGATTAAATACTTAATGAAAATATTTGCTTTGAAGTATCATTAAGACTCTTCACACAAATTGTTTTGTTATAAATCTATTAACTAAAATTTTTAAACTGGTGCTATTTTCAGACATAGTTCATTACTTCATTTACTCTTATAAGTCCACTAATTTTATTTAATTTTACATTTATTAGTTTTATTTCAAGAAAATTTGATTATCTCTGGTTTACAAAGTCCTCAAAGTAGCTTCAACACCTTATAAATATCTTAACAGATCAAACCTTATTCTTTTGTTAAAGGTATAAAAATTACGCAAAATATTAGAATATTTAATTTTTGTTTTATATGTAATTATATATATATATATAATATATCAAAAAATTTTATTATATTTAATTATATATATAGGTATATATATATAATATATCAAAACATTTTATTGTATTTAATTAATCATTTTTTCCTACACATATTGTGTAGGATAAATTCTCATAAAACTGGCTGTTTTATTTTATTTTTATTTGACTTCAATTTAAAATTTCTGTTTTTATTTTATTTTACTCTTTAGTCAATTTTATTAAAATTTTAAAAATTTCGATTTAGAATTTGATGGAATTTTTTCTAAGTGCTTCCCATTAGCTTAAGGTGAGCTCAAAAATTCTTATGCAGTAAGAGAAATTTCCATAAGACAACATAAATAGAATAAAGCGAATACTGTAGACTTGTAGACTTTGTAGCAAGCTTTATACTTGATGCATATTAGTTCAGTACAGTGGGGCCAATTGTGGTTCTGAAAATACTTTATGGTTAGGGTTATTGAATTTTGGTTAAATATTTTGGTATCACGCATAATACCACTCCTTGCTTACATTTACGGAAAAAATATTGCATGAAGAATTTACATTTTTTGTTGTTATTTGCTCGCGGTTACAAATCAAAGGAAATCAAAATATTTCCTTTAAATATCTCATACGAAAGCCGACTCATATCTTTTGTTGAAGAATTGCGTTTTCAGAGCAGAGGATGAATTTTTATATTAAAGGTTTTACGAAAATTGCAATTCCATTTAAAAAGTTTGCGCCCTTGCCAAACCACACATATTTGCATATTTATTGTTATCTAAAGGTTTGGGCTTTGTTTGAGTTATTTTTATTAAAATTTAAGATATTTTCGAACATGAAATGATGGCAAAAATTTGAAACTTGTAATATGTATGAGAAACATATACCATATTTAGTTTATCTCTTATATTAAAAAATTGGACAAAAAGTCTATTAGAGTTTTTTTTAGCTATGTGTAATGTTCTCAATATCTACTTGTACTAAATATTTGGTGTGGTTTCGAAGAGTAGTGAATCCAAACAACAAAATTTTTATTAATTTTAAATTAATTGATTTTAGGCTGACCATATAGCTGTTTGAAGTATTGGCTAATACATGTTATCAGAGCATCTCATACAATAGTTTATATTAAATAGAGTAGTCACTACTGACATTGACATAGAAATCATCAACTAATTATTGCTTTAAACAAGCCATTTGGTTGTTATATATATACATTAGGGTGGCCGTAATATGTATGGGGGCAAAAAAATGTGTTCGAATTCTAGATGCCACCCCCTAAATTTATTCGAATACTCAAAAAACTACTAAATGTGAAGTTTTAGACTAATCGGATAATGTTTAGAGGTCGCTCATCGACCTTAAACTTCGGAAAAATGCCATTTTTTCACTTTTTTCAAATTTCTTCGCTCCCATCTCGCGTATTTTTCACCTTTGACTATTTGTACCAAATTAATATTATTCTTTAACATATTAGCTTTCAAATAAGGTAAAAATCAATCAATTTCGTCCACAATTAACTAAATTATTACTAAAATAAGAAATCATACTTGACGTTTATTGAAGCTTTCAAGAGCAGCATAAATATGGTAGTAAATACGAATACGTATGAGCGAAAGCACAGTTTCTTGGACACAAAATGGTACAATATAATATTTGATGACAATCAAATACTTCCTCACTATATATAATTGTCCACACTTGATTTGAATAATATGCACAAAATAGATTAATAAATATAATAAAAAGAAAGGAGTCCTTAAGTAAACAAAAGAAATTCTCTTAGGTGTTAAGGATGAAATAACAACTTTTTGTTACAAAGAACTACAAAAATCAATTTGCAGAGAAGACTATAAAGAACTATTGGAACTAGTTATCATCTCTTTGGGAGAAAGTTCATCACCAATATTCCGTGACCCTGTATCAATGCACCATGCTCGTTGAATGTCCAAAGCCCTTTACTGTTTAAAGATATATTTATTTCGAAATGAGTTCACATTGTCATCTTTCGAAGAGCAAAAGCTAAAAGAAATCTGTTTGTTCATAATA